ATCAATTACCAAAATCATTACTCCCCAATACTCGGATTGCTCTATACTAAACAACATTATATTAAAATCCATATTAAGTGACCACTTGGAGAAAACAATATTATATACGGATGGGTCAAAACAGGAAGATGGCAGCACTGGATGTGCAGTATATATGCCTCACACTAATCAGTCCTTGAAAATTAAACTTCCTTCAGTCTGTTCTATATTTACTGCAGAAGCTGTGGCAATTGATAGAGCGCTACATTGGTTGGAGGATAATAATATACAAGAAGCAGTGATTGTATCAGACTCAAAATCAGTTTTAGAGGGTTTAAAAAATATTACGGAAAATCCAAAAAGATGTAGTCTATTATGTGATATAAAAAACAAAGTAGCAAGTAAAGATATCACATTTATTTGGACCAAAAGTCATACAGGTATACGGGGCAATGAGATGGTCGACCGTCTTGCAAAAGATTCCATTAGAACTGGAAAAACTGAAAACATTTCAACAGCATCTGATTTAATTAGGTGGCATCAGGCAAGCATTCAGGACAAGTGGCAACAGAAATGGGTGGAAAATTCCCATAGTTCTTATAACCAATACTTCCTCCTTCATCCTTCCTTACCAAAAGACATCCCACATATATTCACCTTCAACTTCTCCAAAAAGTCAGCTGCTACTATATCACGCTTAAAATGTAACCACGGTAGATTCCCAGCTCACCTCGCGAAGCTGCACATTATTCCATCTGCTGTGTGTTCATGCGATAATGCTTCTATATGCGACATGAACCATATCTTCTTTAAGTGCTCAAAAAATAATGATGAAATTGAACTACTTTACAAGGGTTTATTATTTAATAACGTTCAATTACCGGTTAATGTTGCTCACGTACTTTCCCTTTACCAAAAAATAATATTTGAGTTACTATGCAACTTCTTGTACAAAGTTGACCAGCTTATATAATCAACTTATATATTATATATAATTATATAATAACAATTATATAAACTTATATAATCTTGTGGCAAAAAATGGATAACCTTACATGCCATTAAAAAAAAATATCAGATGTGTTTAATTTACATTTCAAATGTACACATATATACGTACGTAAGTACTCTATAATCACACCTCCAGCAGGTTTCGGCTTCGTTGCATCGTTGGTGTATTTTTTAAGAATGTCCTTAAATGACTAATTACTAATTTCTAAAGAAACTATTACTCTTAGGCGATAAAATTAAACTCGAACATTTTTACAGGTACTGAAACATATTTAAAATATCTTCCTAAAATTAGAAACTATAGTTAAATTAAAGGTTCTCGTGAACGCTGTAATTAAAATATTAGGTGTTTGAATTTGTGCCCTGATTTGTGCCTTATTTCTAACAACTTTTTGGAAATAACTCACTCATTGCTCCGGGATTACAGCGTAGCAAACACTCTTTTACTCAAGTATAAGTCCACCGAATACGAGGTAGTCGAATTTTCTGAATTTTGCTAAATACTTGTACTCAGGAAATCCCTTCCGACCGGTAATTACACAATCGTGAACTGCATATAGAAACTAAGCATATAAGTCTGAAATAATTTAGAAGTACTGCAGGCCATATGAAGTAAATGATATTCGCACTGGTGTAACGATCCAATGAAATACGAATCTGATTGAATGAATACGGTTTACGGAAGATAGTGATAAAAAAAAATCGTAGTTCAGTTTGGACAAGAGGCAACCCTAGTAGAGGGGCAACTTGCCGATTTGTTTAGAGTTCCCTCTTTTATAGTGACAAGTAGCAAGAAGCAGATGAGTTCTGCGCACGCGCCAAGTTCAAGGCCATTCGATTAGGCTCTGTTAGTCGACGAAAACAGGCCAGTTAAACAGGGTCAGGTCTACTCAGTAAAAATTTGGCCTTTTAACAGCATCAGGTTCTTTTAACCGACCCGTCGATAAATATAACCGAATAGAATTATGACCTTGAACTTGGCTCATGCGCAGAACTCAAGGTCGAAGTGAGCGTTAACCGGTGTTTAACTAATTTCGCGTTTGCTCCCAGCACATATTCGGGAGCACGAAGAATTATCGACAGGTTATTGTAAACATGCGTCAAGAATTGGTACTAATTCGTGCTAGAAGCGACGCCAATTGCAACACCGGCACAGCCGACGATACAAAAATTCATCGGAAAGTGTCTCACGTGACCATTAGCGGTAAGGTACAAATTGGTCTATAGGAACGAATCAGTAAGGATGCAATAATCACAATGTCATTCCGTCATCATCAATATTCGAAGTTTAAAACTGTATCTGATCCTCGAAAGTTATCCGTGCGAAAATTTTATTATCAACAAATACATCATGGTATATCAAAACTATGTAAACTTTCGACACGATTATTACTCGAAAAATGAGCAAGACGCTCTGTTTGACTATTTGTATTTTAAAAATTGTCCAATATTTGTGCTGGACTGTTCAAAACAAAATGAATCTCTGAAGCTCCCGAGGCGAGAACAGTTGCTTATTGTAATTCAATACAATCCTCTGACTGAGGAAGTGAAGAAACTATGATTTGTATTTTTGTATAAATAAAATGTAATGATAAAAATGTTCGAAGTCTTATTTAAACCCCCAAAAATGAAGGTAGTGATGCAGAAATATGGAACGCAAAAACAACACATGGCGAGTTACTTCCAAACAGTGTAAAATGGTTAATCTGTGGACCGCCCAATTGCGAATAAAATGCCCAGTCTGCTAACTACGCTTCAAACACGTATACCTTTATTCCAAATCGCCGAGTCAGGACAAATATAGACTTTTGGGGAAAATTTTTCAGGCTATGAAGGATATTGGCTTCTTTACATTTAGCGAGAACGCCATTATGGAACACGATGCTGCTAAACATAATTCAATTTTTATTTGGCGACATCGCTTGTCAAAAACAGAATAACATTAGAGTGTACTTCTCAACGACTTGAATTTATAACACACTAGCTGACCCGACGGACGTTGTCCTCTTTCTTAGCTATGAATAAATATGAATAAATAATAACAAAAAATTTGCTGTGGCTAGCACAAGTACAAACCGCCCCACCTGTGCATGCGCGCGATTCTGCCCTTTTATGTCTAAGAATATGTGTAGCAAATTTGGTTTAAATCGGTTCAACTGTTTAGCCGGAAAAGAGATTTTGACACACTTGCCCCAAAATCTCCCCATCTCTCCCAAAAATAATAAAAAATAAACACACTCACTTCTATAGTTGCTTTTGGTGATTCAGAGCGAGCAACGTACCTTTTTTTTGCGCCAAATGCCGTAATTTGAAAGCAATTATCGAGGCTATTATTGTATTTCAGGATATGAGTAAAAAAATGTATAGAATCTGGCCCATTTCCGGAAACCAAGGAATGTAGTGGCTCTGGTGGCCGTACCAATGGCATCAATTTCACTTGGCCACTGGCGCAACATAATCCAGCGGCTTCAGTAGCCTTGCAATGTGGACACACAAAGTTCTTTGGTCTAATAGCAACGATTTAATGTAAAGTAAAACTATAATCGATTGTTACGTTATAATCAAATGCAGCTCGATAGGGATTAAAGGGGACATTTCTGCGTTGTTCATATCGATTCCATTAACTTTGTTTCGCGCTTCGCTTTGCTCGCCAGTTTGACTTACTCGTATACAGGGTTGTGCACGGTAAATAGGAACATTGGGATTTAACATGGGAAATGGGGATTTAACATGGGAAATTAGTTTTATGCAATATCCTGCTCTCCTGTACATTTTACAGAAAAAACTGTAGAGTTTAAAGTTGTTCAGAATTAAAAGGTGCATACAAAACTGTTTTTACATGTTTTTATTAAGCTTTTGGTATACCCCCAAATTTAAAAATAAATTACAACATTTCTGTTATTAGTAGCAATTCATAAAACAACAAAAGTCATGGTTATTTTAAAATCTGCGGGTATAGCAAAAGCTTAATAAAACATGTAAAAACAGTTTTGCATGCACCTTTTAATTCTGAACAACTGTAAACTCTTACTTTTACTTACCGAGTACAACCCGGTATATGTTTGACTTGTAGGATTACGAATTCTGTGACCTCAGTTGGTACCATATGTTGATACATCTCATAAGTAGGATTTTACAAAAACTAAAATTCAACTGAAAATAGAAATTGTCTCCCTTAGTGTTTCTGTATACCTAACTATGTATACCACGCGTTTAGTCTATCAACACTTACCAAAAATGGATGTTAGGTATATCAAACTTTTAATATAAAAGGCGCGATTGCGGTGAAATAACTTCGAAACTTCTAAAAATACTCACTGAAATCTGGATAAACTATCCGATCGAATTGACAGCACACTATGATATGAATAAATTAATTTTTTGACGGATATACTATGCCGATCCATTGCCGATCGATGTAGATGTTAAAACAATTGCCGTCGCACCGTCAAACGCGCGATGTTTAAATAGTCGTTAAATTTCCTTCAATTTTCTGGGCGATTTTCTTAGTTTTTCTTGCCGTAAGAACCTTTTACACAGTATTAGAAAACTTTAAAAAAAGATGAATGGAATCGGTCAAGTCGTTCTAAAGTTATTGCGTGACCAGAAGAAACAGGGGTTCATTTTTATATATAAAGAAGAAGATTATGAAGATTAAGTCACCCTCTTAATAACCATGCAATTGTTCCGAGAGATGTGCTCCGAAAGTTGGCGAAATCCGTATGGCTTTATGGTAATAAATATGGATGCGGATGTGCAAAACGTTCGTTTCAGGAAAAGTTTCGATCTCTATATAATATCGTCAAAACGTGTTTCAGAACGCTTTATTGAGAAACAGATCTGTTCGTTTATTTATTTACCCTGTTCACCAGGTTTGGAATACTGTATAATACCGTTAAAACGTGTTTATTGATCAGTTCCAAATAAATATCTTTAACAGCTTAACAGCTTTATTGAGAATCAGACCGCTGTTATCTTTTCCCTTGTTTTGTTTATCTGTTCCGTTGATCATGGGTAATAAGGAAATGACCTTGAAACGACGGATAGTTTAGACACGAGTCCTAGTTAGTTTTGACAACAACCACGATTATGACTACCCTGATTTAGTCCAGGCTAAATAACTCTGAAATGATCTTGAAAACGTTTCAACTTTATGGGCCCAAACAATTATCTTCTGTTTTATCATAAAACAGGTTATGTTACCTCCAAATTTCAAACCCGTACATATCGTAACTATCGGAAAGTTGTTGAAATCAAACACAATATTATGGCCCATGGCAAGATAAGACATAGATAAAGTTCGTCTTTTGCATCGATTCAACCTGAACCGATCATTCTCGTAATAAGATACACATAGCAAGTAATCGGTGAAATTCAGTCTGAGGTGATTTAGTATTTGAAGGTTGGGTTATTATCAATACATGATTTCCTACTACGGGTAACCATAGATTTTTTTAAATAGAACTTCATTTCATGGTAACGATCTCACTAGGATTTACCTTTCTCATAAATACTATGAAATCCTGACCTTGAATTCTGCCTTAATATCTTAGAAACTCTGTATCTGTAATCATATATTAAAAGTATTAATAACTCAATATGTTAAGATAATTCGCATCGCAATAAACGTGCAATTTAAATTTCAGGTTCTACTGCGTCCCAACAGGATTCAAACCAACAAGAGAGCGGCCAAGGATATCAGCTACTTTTACAACAAAGAGAAGAAGAAAACCGACAAGAGGTGGAACGGCTGACTGCAGAAATACGAGCACTTAAGCTTCAACTTTTACAACTTACAAGTGAGTAACTCGGGATATGCAAGGCTTTTAAAATTTCGCAACTCGAGCTGACGTAAAAGAAGTTGGCTTTTCGAGAGATGAAAAATGCAGCTCCCAAGAAAAACTGAAATTTAAGCCGATAAATAAAATGGGCGACAGGCGTATTGTATTAGGTCTACTATATTCCCATTAAGACTGATTTAGAATCCCGCAATGGTATTTCCCGGCAATATTATGAATTTTAGCGGAGATAATGCATTCCTGACGGACGAATATCATACTGATTAATCGTTCGCGTGAAACTGCGCTCAACAATTTGTAAAACCCGCTATGAATTTTAAGAGGGGTAAAACGTATTAAAATTAACTCTCATCCGACAAGAAATTTAATTAAATATTTAAAGCTTAAACTCGAAAATAAACAAGCGGAAAAATCTTAAACAGAATTTGTCCTTTCTTAATTTTCTAGCTAATTAGAGTTGTATTTTTACAACGCGACTTACTTAATTCCTTCAGTTTTTCTTCCTCTATTATCTGTTCTAACATATCCTCTTTTTCGCGTGTTGTATTCAGAAAATTTCTTGTGTGTAATAGAGATTTTAACTTTAACGTGCGTTAAGTTAGCCTGCAAAACAAAAAATGCATGTACATTTTCACGTAAACTATACTGGCACATACTTCAAAATTCTACGGAAGTGCTTATTTGGCTACATAACCAAATCAAAAATCTAAAATCCCCGGTGCTTTTATATCGTAACAAAAATGCCGTTCAAATAAGCAGCACTGTTTCCCAAGAGTGTATAAGTGCACAAAAAAGTACCTACACTAGAGTAAAATTTGATATCGGACAAATATAATAACTTGCATAGATAATAGGACCAATTATTTATTAATTACGATTTTGAGACGTCATAAATTTATCTGGCAATGTTATGTTTTGAAGTAGACTTTCCTATTTTATGGGGTTGAAACTCTTAGTTCGTTTTTTACCTACGTTAATCCACTTTCTTCTGGATTTTCTCAATAAATAGCATGAAATGAAATTAAATCAATTAGTGAAAGAAAACTGATTGAGAAACATCTCATTTCCCTTTTACTTGACTTGTAGGTATTTGGTTTGATTGCAATTTCCTGGATAAGAATTAATAGAAATTCTAACATGATATTCACGCAAATATGTAGATAAAATCAAACTCTGTCCAGCTCCACTTTCCCCTCCACTTTCCAGATTAATTTGATTAAATGGCCGTTTGCACCGACAAATTTAAGCAGAGCTTAGCTTAAGCATAGCTTAAAATCCAAGGCCACGATTATTGAGACAATGGTTATCATGGATTTTAAGCTACGCTTAAGCTAAGCTCCACTTAAATTTGTCGGTGCAAACGGCCATAAATCTCTCCAAAGTTAACAGTTTTCACAAAATTTTTTGAATCCATAATCTCGTTTAGTTTTTTTTATTAAATGAACAGAACAGGTACATAATCATGAAATATTTGCAAGAAATAAGCTAGGTACTTAAATTGGCTTTGTTCTGTGAAAAAAACTCAAAATATACACTTTATTAAATCGCAACAATGAATGAAATTTTTTTATTTTTCGTAATTTGCTTTACAAAACCGACCAAACCAAGCAGTTACAGTGATTTTATAGATAGGTATAAATGGTCACCATACGTTCAATGTTTCTTGGAATGGACGTTTGCCGAAGGATTCCGGAAGGACCGTTTTGTTGTATAATAGAAATCTCTTTACGGTTATTAGATGCCCACTGGATTGATGTTGATTAAACTCTCCTTGCAATTGTAGACTCCGTGCAAAATGTTGAAGATAAGGGAACGTTGGGGGTGTTATCCTTCTTATATACCAGGAAATTATCTTTACTAGTTGCCTTTATCGTTTTTTAGAAATCCGAAAAAACATTTGGGAGGGGCCAAGTGAACGTATCCCCCCCCCTCCCAGTACGTATTTTGTCGCTTGTAACTAGGTCACCTGATACATTTGGTTATGCGCTCAATTGCGCCACTTGAATGAAAGCTAGCGCTATTACGGTTAAGCCGTGACAAATTTTCAAAAAGTGGGGGGCCAACTTAACGTTTTTAAAAGTTACTTTTTTTAACATCTTTCTATACGAAATTGTACTCCCAGGTATGCACTAAAATGCGCCGTAAAAAGATATCTTTGCGCCATTCTTAAATATATTTGGGAGGGGCCAAGCGAACGGAACCCCCCATAACGCATTTTGCTACCGGTATTTGTTCCACTCGATACATCTGGTTATGCGCTCAATTCCGCCACTTGAATTAAAGCTAGCGCCTTTACGGTTAAGCCATTAAAAATTTTTAAAAAGTGGAGGGGCTAACTTAGCGTTTTCAAAAGTTACGTTTTTAGCATGTTTTTTCTACTACATCGTACCTTTCATCATGCGCTAAAATGGACCGTGAACATAAATCTTTGTGCTATTATAGTTTTTGTGAACCTTTTGTAGTACCTATAGAACTGTAACGCTATTCATTTTAAGAAGGAATCGGTAGAAAGCATAGGGACAGTTTAACCTTCACTGTGATTGGTTAAAAAACGAGTCAGTATTACCCTGAAAAACGAGTGACGAATTCTGTCTGTTAGAAGTTTCAATTATGAACTAAACTGTCGAACTGTCATTAGCTGTCAATTTCAAAGATCCAAGCGTTATATCGTTCGATTTAGTGTTTGTTTACAATGAACGTACCTATACGTAAATATTTCATAAACCGTCACTCGTATATATCCGTATCGTTTCCGTAAATTTACTTCGCTGTTTACAATAAACCAAAGATCATATTACAAGTAGTATAATCTTTGACCGTACGTAACTTTGAAAAATTTTCAACTTTTGCGAATATGCGCAAGACTTCCATACCGCTTACGTATACGTAGGTACGTAAAAATTACATTCATTGTAAACACCTTCGTATGTTTCTATACAGTTCAACTTTTGGAAATTTTTAAGTCTTATGTATTTGTTACGCATACGTTCATTGTAAACAAGCACTTATATTTATATTTTTCAAATTTTGTGCCGTTTTATATTTCTCCTGTGTGTGTCGATCTTCAAACACAGTGCCATCTACTTATAATGAATGCAGTATATCGGTCGGTTGTCCGCAACTTAACTTTTTTTTAAGTGCACCAAAAGAAAGCCCTATTCATTCTCTTATGCACTGATAAAAATGGGTTGCCATGACTACAACCGTTTTCAAGTAATCAATTATCAAGGTACCATCTGCATCCGCAATTTTTTTTCTTAAAGTCAAAATAACTTAAAAACCATAAATGGCAGATATCGACATATGGGTATCAAAAGAACTGAAATTTCACGTAGAATCCAAAAATGCAATAAAAAATAGGGGTTGCATTTAAAATAACGAAGTTACTATCTACTTCCGGTGTTTCCGGAAGTGCGGCCATTTTGAAAATATTTTACATCGATTCGGCCTTCAGAGTAACTCCTAAGTTCAACTTTTCAAAAACCTACCTATTTTACTTTCCCAGAAACGTTTAACTAAAGCTCCCAAAAACACCCTATATAGTGTTTGTAATGGCGCAAAGATTTTTGTTTACGGCGCATGAGGAAAAGTACCCCCCTCTTTTAAAAAAAATTTTATGGCTTAACCGTAATGGCGCTAGCTTTAATTCAAGCGGCGCAATTGAGTGCATAACCAGATGTATTGAGTGGCACAAATACCGGTAGCAAAATGCGTTATGGGGGTTCCGTTCACTTGGCCCCTCCCAAATATATTTAAGGATAACCAAAAAACAAGAATGGCGCAAAGATATATTTTCACGGCGCATTTTAACGCATATGTGGGAGTACAACTTCGTATGAAAAGATGTTAAAAAAAGTCACTTTTAAAAACGTTAAGTTGGCCCCATCACTTTTTCAAAATTTGTCACGGCTTAACCCTAATGGCGCTAGCTTTAATTGAAGGGGCGCAATTGAGCGCATAACCAAATGTATCAGGTGACCTAGTTACAAGCGACAAAATACGTACTGGGAGGGAGGGGGGGCTACGTTAACTTGCCCCCCCCCATTGTTTTTCCGGATTTCTAAAAAACGATAATGCCGCAAGAGTTATTATCGGTGGCGCATAACGAGCGCATTCATTTAAAAATAATACTACTATCAAATCTAACAGTGGGGGGGGGGCCAAGTTAACGGACCCGCCAAACTGCCCAAATTGACGGCGAAAGGCAATGGGTTGCTACGTGTAGGTACAGATAAGATGAGGCTAATGAAGTGGTTTACTTTGACACGATTCTACATGTAACAAAATTAATATACAGGGAATTTTTCTTAAATGTATATATATGGACTATGTATACTTTACAAAGAATGGATCAAATGCATGAGAATCATGATACTGGAATAGAAGACTACAGGCAACCAACATTACACGCGACACACTGGGAGTGTTTTTACGTCTTAAACTTTTGCCACCCTGAACTATGTTAATATTTCAACCTTATCGTCGCCCATATTTGTGTTGTTTCACAATTTGAGGCTAATAATAAAACACTCATAACTAACCCTAATTTCACATTAAATAATCAAATTACTGTAACAGACTTCATGTTATCGTTTTAAATAAATTCGTATAGGGTTGGTTGCCTACTATAGCAATCTATTCCATACATTTGATCCGTTTTTTTAAAGTATACATAGCCCATATATATATTGCTGTGGTATTTTGTCTGGCAGGACGAAATTTTGGGGTCTTAACTAGAATGGACAAGGGCGGTTTCCATGTAATTAATTTTCTTAATCTAAATTTTTGTTTTGTATCGTTCGTTAAGTACATCAACAGAAATTATTGTTACGAAAAAGAGGTCAAGGTTTGTATTGTTTACATTTTAATCTCATTTTTGATTTTATTTAACGTAGATTTCTGAGAATTTTATATCGCTGTTATTCTGTTATCATTGTAAACGCTTAATTTAATTCACAGGTGGATGTTATTTATCGCCTTTTCATTGTATTTAAAAGATAGAAAATTCTATTTTTCCTAGTATTTTAATTTTGTGTTATCTCTTAGTGTCGGTTAAAAATTGGTTATAAAAATAATTTCTACCTCTAGTTTAACTTAGTGGGGAGATTTTCTGTTGTCAACTGCTTATCATTGGCTAGTTTAATTTGTAATTTTGGAAGAAGGGTTTCCACCTTAAATCGAACGGACTGAGAAGAGGATGGGCTTTTTGCCAGAGTCAACGCAGAACTACGTTTCTTTGTTTTGAATTCAGCATTTTGTTGAAGTTTTTTTTGGGAGTTTTGAAGTTTTTATCGTCATTTTGTTGCCAGTCAGGGCAGTTTTTGGTTTGAGTGAAGATTGTTTATTTCGCTTCGGCGAGTTACCGCAGTGGTTTGGATTTGTGTAGAGGCCAGCAGTTTTGGAAGTTTGTGGAGTTTCCGTTTTACGGAGTAACAAGCCGAGTTGCGGCAGTTTTTGGAAGTTTAGACCTTCATTAAAGTGCGTCACCAAGGTGTGTCGGCGCCGACTTGAGTGTTGTTTTGTGTAAATTTGAATTTTGTTTTTTTTTGTGTGTAACGTATTGGGATTAGCAGTTTCGACATGTACCGAATGTATGTAAGATTAAGTTTTAATTGTAGTTTTTTTCTTTGAAATAATTGTTTGTTTTTCTTGTTGTTTTTTTTTATTTATTGTGTAACCATTAAAACTGAAATTTGTAATTCTCACATTAATTTCTGTGTTTGTCTTTCGAACGATTTCATTTCCTTTCATTTACTGTTTTCTTTGGATACTTGCCCAAGGTCCATTTTATTTAATCAAAATTCTTAGGATCGATTTGGAATTTAAGGTCTTTGGTCTAACCCACTATCTGAGAAAAGAGTCGAATTCCTCCTCTGTGCTGGGGGGAAGTTTTGTTCCGAGAAATATAAGGGTTTGAGCTAGCTAGGTTTGTTTGTGTTTGTGTATCGGTCTTTTTGTCCTACGGACCGGTGCAGACAGCAAAATATATACATTTAAGAAAAATTCCCTGTATATATAATGCGTCCTGATATATGTGACATTGAGGGGTAACGAATAGAAGACGCGCAAAGTGTGAACTAAAAGAATAGAGATCGTACTCTAACAATCGATAAACCATCCCTGTCTACTGGGCCCTGATTCTTGATTTTCGGGGAGTAGAACTACCGAGAGAAAGTGGGCGTGGTTCTCTCACTGTCGCAAATTTGTATTCTTGACTGTTCTTTCTACTCCCACGCGTTTCCCCGGGGATGAAAACTGTTCTATTACCAATTTGTAGGGAGTTTAGTAGTGAACCTCGCATAACCTATCTATTTTACCGTCGAGTGAAGGATTCCCTCAGATTTTACTATATTTGATTGTTTCTAAACTTCATAGTGTTTGCTGTAATGGAGTTAGAGGTTGTAATTTTGTGGGATCAGATAATCAATAATATTCAGGATGCCGAACAAGAACAACAATTGGAAAGAGAAACCTTCATTAGAAAAAATCCATTCTTGCTGTCTGACCAAAAATTTGTGAAGTTGTTCAGGTTAACGAAACCATTGATGCGAGATGTAATAGAGACATTAACTCCTCATTTACAACAGCCTACTCGTAGGTCTGCTTTAAGTGTAGAAACAAAGGTGAATAGAAATTGCGACTATCATGTTTCTCATATATCTAACATATTTTAAGGTACTAGCAACAGTACGATTTCTGGCTACGGGCAGTTATCAGGAACTAACAGGGTCAAGTGAATATGTTGGTATCAGTCAAGCCAGCATGAGTAGGTGCATTTCTGAAGTTTGCGAAGCCCTAAATGCACCAGAGGTATTTAATGCATGGGTACATTTTCCTCGAAATCTGGCAGACTTTGAAAGTTTAAGGCGCAGGTGATTGTCTACGGCATTTAACCTATAGATAGAGCTATATAGGTACATTTATTTTAGGTTTTATGACAAATATCATTTCCCAGGTGTAATCGGCTGCATCGATTGCACCCACATTGCAATAATTGCCCCTTTCGTAGAAGATGCAGAACATGCCGAGAGAGCTTACATTAATAGGAAAAATTACCATTCTTTAAATGTTCAATTGGTAATATGTAGTGCTGATTTAATAATGCATGTAGTACCTTTTCATTGACAGAAGGTAGGCCAGGCCTTGAATATGTAAATGATGTGACATGTTTTGTAGATATGTGATGAATCATTACGTATCATGAATGTGAATGCTAGGTTTCCGGGGAGCACTCATGATGCTTATATTTGGAGACATTCCGCAGTGTCTCAAGTCATGGAAGCAATGTACCGTCGAGATGCGCGTAATGTTTTTTACCTTTTAGGCGATTCAGGTACATTTTGTACAAAGTAAATAATAAATTCCAAAAATATCATTATAGGATATCCTACACGTCCTTGGTTGCTGACACCTATCCCGAACCCACAAGCAGGTGGGGAAGAACGTTTCAATGATAGGATATGCAGTATTCGCAGTTTAATTGAGAGGTGTAATGGGGTGTTAAAGAATCGTTTCCGATGTTTGTTACGGCACAGAGTGTTACATTATACTCCGACAGTAGCTGCACGTATTGTCAATGCTTGTGTTGTGTTACACAATATGTGTATTGCATATGCTGTCCCGGAGCTCCGTTACGACCAGTTTATAGATCATCCCGATTACGGGATTTTTGCAGCAGAAGTGAGAGGTCAACCCGGTGGGATAAACCCTGATCTTATAGCAGTAAGGAGATTACAGCAAAATATAATACAAAATCATCTTTAATACAAAAATGTTAAACCTAATATTCAATAAAATTACATTAATCCTGCATTGCACTTAAATTATCTGCAATTTTTATAATTGCGTCTGAGGCTACCTCAAGAATATCCAATTTTTTTTCTTGGTAACTTCTTTTATCCTTCATCATTTGTTCTAAAATTTCCAGCTTCCGTTTTTTGTAGTCGCTTTCCATAGCCAATTTTTCTTGGTTTAGTTTGAGTAATTTATCGTGGTTTGCAATCGAAGAGTGAAGTCTTGCCGATTTTGAACTTTTTTTCATTCTTGGAGTATTTCTCTCATGCACATGTGTACAGGTAGGTACATCATTGGCTGTTGATGTGGAGGCGCATGGAACATCAATTGTGACTGATGGAACCTCTATATATTTATTTTCCATATCCACATCCATCACAGGGTGCTACAATAATATAACTATGCAAAATTGCACTTAAACACGATGATTATACTAACCATTTCATCATCCAAAATCACCTGCGATTCCACGATGTCTTTATCACCAGTTACGCACACGGGGGATAAAATTTCCAATATTTTGGAATCAGTGGATGTATCAATCTCAGGTAGGGGCGGACCACCCCCTGTACCTGCAGCGTAGTTCCTAGCCCGAGACAATTTGGCCTTGGTATTTTTTTTAAATCAATCCAGGTCTAAAAGTAACGTACATAAATTATAAAGCATTTTATAAACACAGTTTTTACCTTACGCCAAAGTTTCCAATCTTTACTTGGACCTCCGGGTATACTGTTTAACAGGACCGTTACTTCTTGCCATAGTTTTTCGCTTACCGCCTTTGTGTATGTAGCTGTAAATTTTCCCACATACATTTCCTTGTGTTCGAACACAAAATCTGTTAATGTCTGCTTTTGAGCAGCATTTATACTGCCGCATTTTTTTTGAGTCGTATCACTTGCATCCATAATAAAGTCTATAGTTGTAAGCACACGTAAACGTTATGAATAGAAAATAAAACCAAAAATGTAATACACATTAAAGTACGTACAATAGAGGTTAGGTAGTTGTTTACGTAAATGCCAACATGTGATTGGTTGAGAACCTTGGCAACGCTGCATTGTGCGTTCTATCGAAAAGCTCTACTCCCCAAAAGTACAGAATAGCGTGTAAGGTTGAGGAGAGAACAAAACGAGGGAATAATCGTCGGGGAACGTTCTATTCTACTGTACTCAAGAATCGAGGCCCTGGACGAGACGAAACTTTTCCTTCGTCCCGAAGGAATTCATCACATCTAATTTGTAGTTTTTATATTCTCCAAACCAAACCGCTTTGACTTTATTGCTAGCTTTATTCTATTCAGCGCTATGCAAAGTGCACAATGTTGTGAATTTTTGAACAGGAACAAAGTATAAAACTCAAATTAATCATTACACCGAGGTTATCTTGGAATAAATTTTTATAGAGGATTCTCGAGCTTCAGACATAAATTTACACTAATCCTTTGACTTTCCGCCTATCATAAAATTTAGAGTTAACGTAGGCAACTTTTTAAAACGGGAAGCTCTTTCTCCGAATAAGAAAATAAATTATATCACCCAATCCCAATGTGCATCTAAATTTCGCTGTTTCCAGTTTCTGCAAGATTTCGCGATTAATCTACAAATAGACCTAAATAATATTGAGCAAATAGTCTGCAATAAACACTTTGCCACATAATTTAGTTAGGACTTCTAGAATCACTATACGGAACCATAAACACGATATATTTCTCAATTTTAGTGCCGAGGTAACCTAAAAATTAAAGGTAAATAAAAGTAAAATCGGAAGCAATTTGTAAGAGCATCCTGCGTCTGGAATTTATTTAACCTTTCTGAAGTGGTCCTTATTTTATATTAAGTACCTATCTAACGGCGATTTTGAAATGAATTTTTTCGCACTTTCGGCAATTAGAAAGTATTTCGGTTCCTCTAAATCTATGGTATGTATCGAGAACACATTTATTGCATTTAGGAAACAACTACTTTGAGCAATATAGAGACCCAGAAATGTATAAACGACAGCCATAATATGATATACAGTTATTGCAAATTGAATACTGACCTAAAAGCTATGATATTTCATTCCAAAGGGAACAATATTGGAGATTTATGGTTGCTCTTTTCCAAATTTATTTCTATATAAGCATATTTTTATTATCATCTTCCTTTACTGTATAATGTAAACGTTTTTCGTGGTTTTATATTTTGAACAATTTGCTGCCTATTCTCTTCTGTTTCAAGTCAATAATTTATTACCTATACATACGTGATGCAGACCGTACATTGCATTAATTAAACGAAAACATAGGAGGGCTTTTCAACTTTTTATTCCTAGTTCCACCGGCATTTATGGCGACCCTAATAAAAAGTGTGTTAAATAAGTTAACTCAGTTATTTTGCATTCATTTTTTACTTATTTGTACTGCCGCTATCCAATTGTATACTTGTCGCTGTTAGAACCAGATTTAAGAGTCACAATTTTTAAATCACAATCGGTTTGCCCAAATTACACAAGACTCTAAATTTGCTGGGTTTGTGAACACACGCCATAAAATTTACATAAACAATTAGAAATCTTTTTAATCTATAATTCAACCCAACGTTCCCCAACACTACTTACATTAAACCTATAACAAAAAAAAATATAAAAAAACACCAGGTAGGCGCTATCGTATTCTAAAGCGATGGAGTAGCGCGTGGTGTGCACTATAAGCCACCTAACGCTGCAATCGTAGGGGGAAGCTCAACCATTCGCCTGCATGGACGAATATTTGTCTTCCCTCAACTCCACAAACTGACGTTGATAGATAAGTTAATTAATTTAGGGCAATCCCGCTTCCAACGGATGCGGCAAATACTAGAAAAAAAATTTTTTAAGGAATCGCATAGAATCATTAATCATTATATATCATTATTATACTCGTATAAAATTGTTGAACCTTATAATTTCCCAAAATTTCACCCACAAAAGAGCGCACACCTAAATGGGAGTGCGAACAAAAATTCTGTTTCGACGAAATTTGGTATCTGAGGGTTTTTTAAATATGAAAATCACAAATGTGAAATTAATTTTTGCAAATAAAAAAATTTTACTGTGATTCTTGGCCGGTCAACGAAAATGGAGAGAAGTTCACGAACTCTGTTTTGTACATACTCGTACTTGATGAGTAAAAAGAACAAAATTGTCGAACAGTTTTCAAACAAAAGATATCTACTCAAAAGTATCCCCCGCTACCTAGCGAGTCATCTAATTTTGCATGCAGTTAGTGTCGCAAATAACAAACAATTACAAGCACATGGGCATTATAACGAAATGGGGTGAGATAACTCGAAACTGTTGGAACGTGTTAAATTTGAAGCTTTTGAACTGAGGAGAACTGAAATTTGATCTACGTTTGTACACAATATGAAATCTTTTTGTCTCTTAAATAAAATATCACATACTCTTGCAAATATCTATACCTCACTAAAGAGTGACCTAGTTTTACAGTGCAAGGTCGTGCCCGGAATATACTTTTTACCAGTACATTTACTGAATTTGTGGGTAAACTAGAAGATATCATTGAAAATGTGACCGAGAAATTTCAAATTTTTTGGAAGAAGAGTACGTTCACTTTGATATATGTGATTAAGCAGCAAAACTTATTTTGAAAAACCAAAACAGCATATATTCTGAAGTAAATTTGAGAATTGTAAGCTGCAGAAACTACCTATTTGTTATAAAATAGTTTTTAAGGCCAAAGATGGAAAGTTTGGAAATCAACGATTTTCGTTTAAGGATTTTAGGAATAATAGTTTATTATATACCGCGGCACTGAAGTAGCACTTTTAATCCCGAAGGTAAAGTTTATGGAAGGGAGGGTTATAATTTACGTGAGGGATTAAGACTACTACTTCAGTCGCAAGGTATATACGATATTTTTTTCACTACTAGCGTCTGATGACATGATTATTAACCTTTTTTCCACTTGTAAAGTAGGCTTTCTCGGCATTTGTTCAAAGTGGTTAATAATGTGGACATTATTAACTAGTAGTCAATAATGAGAACTGTCACGCTGTCACTTTTAGAAAACACAACCCGAAATTTCGCTCAATAAACGTTTAGACAAGTTCTCTAAAAAGAATAGTTGCCACCATCAGCCATTTCCAGAGAAATTACATACCTAAAATTATCACATTTTGAAAAAATTCGAACGAAATTACTCTTTGAAAATATCTCAATGACAGAACAAAATACGGCCTGTTTGACTTATACTTCCACGTACTTGATTGACCTGTTAAATTAATAAACAAAAAATTCTGTCCAACCGTTCACTTTCTTATCAATATAATATGTTAATTTAGAGGACTTCAAGTGCTAGTAGTGAAAAAATAGTATATATAACCACGGTAGAGAAGTCTATTATTGCCTTCGCACCTTACACCCCTCGGCGCAAGCGCCTCGAGATGTAATCTTGGTGCTCAGGCAATAATAGTGGACTTCTCTACCTTGATATATAATGTACTAATTTCGTACTTCCGAAACTGAAACACAGAGAACGCGTTCTTTAAAAAATCGCTGCTTAACAAGTTACCATAGGAACGTTGCTAGTGTCATAATTTTGGTCGTGGGTGACAAAGGTGTATCTGATATTGATAAAAAGCAGCCAAAGTAGGTAAAGAATTGATACCACCGAAATCCATAAAAAATATATGAGCAGCAGTACGATGCATTTAAGAAGTAGTGCGCGCATACAAAATGTGGAACAACCTACTGAAATTGCTTTGTTAGTAATTTCATCCTTCCGGGATTTTCGTCCAAATTTAATCCCGGCGCCGGCGGGACAAAAAGTGACACTTCAGTACTTGTCATAGTGGAGTGAAGTTGTCACTTTACTCTCGGAAGTACGAAAAGTTATATACATTGTTGATCAACACGGCCAAACATATGTAAATTATAATGACTTGGTTTTCGGTTTGAACGACTATTTAATATTGGTCATGACCTTGTGTCGTAAGAGGGGAAATCTCAAGGTCGCGACCTTCTGACGTC